CCATTTGCATATTAGGTTTTTATTATATAGGATTAGAGGCCTGGTGCATGAAATTCATGCACAGGGGCTCCCCTCTCCAACCTGGGACCCCCCAAGGGATGTTTAACTGCTGATTTGAGCCCGATCCTCTGCGTGCCGGCCTGATCATCCCTGCAGGCCTAGTTGATCCTAACTGACCCTGCTGCTGGCCAGGTTGCCCCCAATTGTCCCCTTGCCAGCCTGGTCACCCCTAACTGCTCCCTCTTGTTGACCTAGTCACCCCTCACTGCCCCCTTTGCCAGCCTAATTGCCCCCAACTGCTCCTCCGCAAGCCTGGTCATCCCCAACTGCACCCTCCTACCCCCGGCCTGGTGGCCCCTAACTGCACCCCCAACCCCCCATTGGCCTGGTCATCCTCAATTGCCCCTCCTCCCACCCCCCCGCTGACCTGGTCACACCCAACTGCCCCCCCTGCTGGCCTGGTTGCCCCATGCAGCCTGCTGTTCAGTTGTTTGGTCGTCCCTCACTAACCCCCCTGCTGGCCTGGTCATAGGCAGCCATCTTGTGAGGGCATGAGGATTCATTTGCATATTACCTCTTTATTATATAGGACGATAGCCTGGTTGGTATGGCTCAGTGACTGAATGTTGACCTATGAGATTCAATTCCTGGTCAGGCTCAGTCCTGGGTTGCAGGCTCAGTCCCCAGTAGGAGATATGCAGGAGGCAACCAATCAATGATTATCATCAGTTATTTTTCTATCTCTCTCCCCCTTTCCCTTCCTCTCTGAAATCAATAAAAATATGTTTTTTTAAATGATTAACTACACATATATATACTATAAACTCTCCTGATTCTGTGTTAATTTCATCATTCTCATCATAAGTCTAAAAGCCTCTATTTGGTACCTAAGGCAGCTTCCAAAACTGTCACTATATAGATGTAGATGTACCTCCATCTTTGTGTGCCCCTTTCTTTCGAATTTCCATGTTCTGAACCTGACCTCGATAGTCTCAGCCAGGACCAAAGCCTTATGGTTAATGATTAGTTGTGTCCTATAAGCTTATACACTATAACCATAGAGATTCCTGTCAGTAAAAGGCCAGAATGGCATAGCAATTGAGCTAAATATCAAAGTAGGTGCTGGTGTCAATTGTAATCAGTTTTCCATTGTAGGACCATCAGGAGGTATGCTCCCTTTGTCTTGTGGTTCATTAGTAGTTTGGCTATACCATAAACATTTACTGTAACCACTGCTTAGCAGCAGTGATCATCTGCACAGACTGTGGGCACCCTCCACTCTGACCCACTCTTCCTGTAACTTACTCTACAAGTTCTGTTATAATCAGTGGACTTGTTGGCCTCGTTTTCTGGTCTCAAGATACCTTCTCGGTCTGGTGGTCACTGTACCTCCATCCGTTCGGACAGTCTCCAGCTGGGAACTGAGTGCTGGAAGTCCTAAGAAGAGATATCTAGGGCTCATTTACTGGGGTTTAGCTTAGTTTCTGGCTCCAATCCTTAAAGCTTTACAAAGATGCTGGACAAGCGAAGTCCAACTCAAGACAAGCCGAATGCTGTCAGCAAGAGGCTCTTGCCTCAGAGCAAATGAGTCACTAGTTGAGCAATTTGTCACCATCACTTCTCAGATGAACACAAGCCGGGGTGCAGCCTATTTGAGTAGAGATTTAGGTTACAGAAGCATTAGGCCCACTGCAGGTCAGAGTTTGCAAGAGTTACTTTTCAAATTTCATCAACTTTCTAATCATGACCAAACCTATTTCAGAAAAATGCTCGACTTTCTACATAAATGAAAATCAGAATTTTGAATGAAGACTAATTCAGAATAATTATGTTTTTTTCTGAAACATTTAATGTCCCCAAGTCCAAATAATATCAAGTAGAAATACTGTCCATGCTTTATGATAATGGTTAAATTCCAAGGTTAACTGTAAACAGTCACTTGAATTTCCTCTATATGCTTATGGGAGAAAGTCTGGTCTCTATTTTCAGCTCTCAAGTTCTTATTGTAAATTACTACCTGAATCCTGGTATCTGCTCTTCCCTTCCTCCATAGTAACAGAATCCTGATTTTGAGGCAGGTACATGGCTGCCTGAATTGATTGATCCCCCAATCTCCCTTGCAACTAGGGGTGACCTATCATGGGATTGAGTTTTGACCTGTAAGTCTTAAGAGGTGTTATTATGGGGTACCTTTCTAGAACCTTCCTTAAAACATAACGGGCACATTTCTTATGTTTTTTTCTTTGTCCCTTCTTTAATCCATCCTGTCTCTTGGAAAGTGGATGCAGTAGCTAGAGTGTTAGTTTGTCATCTTGACCATGAAGACCGAGAGAAGCCCAGGTTCCTAAAGGCTTTGTGAAACAGATTCATCACATGACCCTGGGTTACCTGCTTTTGGACTTTTACGTGAGAGAGAATTCCCATGTTGTGCAAGCCAGTCATTTATTTTTTAAAATATATTTTTATTGATTTCAGAGAGGAAGGGAGAGGGAAAGATAGAAACATCAAAGATGAGAGAGAATCACCGATTGGCTGCTTCCTGCACAGCACCTACTGGGGAACAAGCCTGCAACCTGAGCATGTTCCCCAACAGGGAACAGAACTGTGACCTCCTGGTTCATAGGTTGATGCTCAACCACTGAGCCACACTGGCTGGGCTAAACCAGTTGTTTTTGGCTTTTGTTACAGATAGCTGAATTTAGTCCTGATGACTGAAACCAAGAAACACTCTCAAATGAGCCTTAGGAAGAAGTTCCAGGTAAGAAACCATTCCAATCTATACTGTATGTAATGACACAGTCAGCTGACTGTCTGGAATCAGGTTACTAAGAGAAAAAGCAACAACCACCAAAAGAGAAACCTTAATCAAGACCCTCAGCGGAGGGCCAGTCTTTGAACACATTTTATAAAGTTCTGAATGGTTTGGTGGGAAAATGCTGTTTGAGGGGCAAGTTAGTCCAGGTAAAGTGCTTGTGCTCAGGTTGGCACACGGCGTGGAGCTCTGTCAGCCATGAAGAGCCACGTTACCACTCAGTCTGTTTCCAGCGTCCTTCCCCGGGGCGGGCGCAGTGGGCCTGCTGATGTCCCGCTGCCTTATAGAAGGCTCATCCCCACACTTACTAGTGTCACCAGGAAAACACCTAGAAAAGGGGACTCCTTAGTTCCAGTTACACAAACCCACGGAAGAAAAACCAGCAGTGGAGGAGGAAATCCACTCTTTATTTACAATCCTTTCATTTTACCCACAATTTCCCATACAAACATAAAAACTAAAAAAATAAAACCACCACTTGGGAACATGAGTGTCTTTCTTCAGTCTAGCTGAGGCTGGGCCCCGGGCCCGCTCTGCGGAGGGGACTGAGGCACACGCGGGGAGGGCGCAGGTCAGGAAGAATGCCTGAGAATCAGCTCCGGATGAGAAACAAGACGCCTGTGGGTGGCTCTGCTGGCAGGCACCAGGTGTCACCCACTGGGACGCAGCTTGGCTTCCCAAGATGACAGCTGTGTGCCACCACCCCCTCTTCTCCACTACCAAACACCAAGCATGGAACGGGGGTCACACATCTCGTGAGCTGTGTGGGATGTGATTGCAATGGTGGGGACACCAAATGCCTCTGAGAAGAGCCTAAACCCCAGGGACACACAGGAAACCCCTTTCCTTGGCACTGACAGTCACAGCTTCTGTCCTGAACATAGTGCTGACTTACAAATGTAAAAACGAAAGCCCGCCCCCATTCTGGGGGGAAGGCAGGGGCTAAAACATGCAGAAGGGCTTCTGCCTCTGTGGTCCTCTCTGGGAGGCTAGGGGCGCGGTGTGGGGCGGGTATGGAGGGATGGGAGGGTAGAGGGGGACGACGCATCTGACCGAAGGCAGGAAAGAGCCAAGGCAGAGGCTCCCCCAGAGCCCGGGAGGCGGGGCAGAGGGGAGGAGAAACAACTGAAACACCATGGCTGCCTCTGGTTTCAAAGCCGCTCCATCTGCTCAGCACAGCCCACCCCAGCGACCCCACTGCCCCCTCCGCACAGGAGGGCACCCAAAAACCAACCTGACGGCAACTTCACCTGCGCTAGGGAGCCAGATTGCTTTCACAAGTTGATGCGCATTATAAATATAAAATCATATCTGCTACAAAGAGGACATATATTTGTACATCTTTACCCATATACATAATAACACAATTTACACATAATATCTTGGAGTGGGTCATCAAGGGAAAGGATTTGGAGAGGTAAAAAGACCCTTCTTCCTCCCCTGCCCTGTCCTTCTCAAGGGACGCTTGTACACGTGGTCGCTGGGGCCTTTCCCAGCCGGCGTGAAGGGCTAGTCTGGACAAAGAAATGCAGACAGGTAACTAAATGCCGAGTGGGCATACCCACCATGAACACAAACACACGCTCACATACTAGTGAGAAAAGGGAAAATAAAATCCCTAGCCCTGGGTACAGCCTCTGCCCAGAGTTATAAGCATCAGTGTCTCCTCCATCTGGGAACAATGGTCTTAAAAAGCCGCCCCTCACTGGCTCAGCCCAGGGCAGCAGGCGGAGGGCTAGGAACTGTGGACAGGGCAGAGGGGCTAGGAGTATTTGGAAAACATAAGGCGTTTCTGACCTGTGATCAAATCAAACGATGTCACAAAAAGCAACACTATCAGTTGGGGCTGGGAGGCAAGAGACAGCAAGTCCAATGTGAGTTAAGACCCTGAGCCTTCCCCTTCGTTTCTCCAGTTTCTTTGAAAGGGGCAGACAACCCTGTACCTCTTTCCAGTCCTCTCCCAGAGCTGGCCCATGCCCGTGCATGGAATACTGACAGCGGTCCAGGAGACCCGTCCAGAGACATGGAGTGGTGGGTAGGCACGCCAGAAAGTTAAGACCTGGGCGGCGGATGAGAGCTTTTTACAGCAGGAGTGGTTCCTGGTCCATCCACGGCTCGCACAGTGGCCACAGTGATCAGATTGCCATCGGAGATGGGGGCAGTCTGGGTCCCCATGGGGAGATAGCACCTATCGGCGGTAGTGATTGGGGGCGTCGGCAAACATGTACTTGAGCCGGTACGCCTCGGCGAGGAGCAGCCCGATCTCTTCGTTGCCCCAGTGTATCGTAGGCAGGTTTTGTAGCAGCATGAGGAGACCCTGAAATGCAAGAAAGGACTTTTCTCAGCCCGGGGCCAGAGCAATGGACCAGCAGGCCCTGACGGTTTCCTTCTCTGTCCCACATCCTAACGGGCGGGGCCTCCCTCCTCCCGAGCAGCACACAGCCCTCCCGCCCTAGGAGGCATTGAAAAGCCTCTGCTGATTTTCCAATCCATCAACACCTGCCTCTTTAAAGATATTATAAATAGAGAATGACAATAGTAAATAAGGATATTTTAAAAAGAAAAATAAGTCTACGGCCATACCACCCTGAACGCGCCCGATCTCGTCTAAAAAGAAAAATAATTACCCAAACATCTCCCTAATTTTTAAAGTATTCCTTATTAGTCTTTTCACATGCATAGTTCTTTAAATAGTTGTAATCATAACTAGGATTTTATATATATATTTTATTTGTAATTATCATGTTTTTCCATGCAGCCTTCAGAAATGATTACATTCAATATTAGTATTGTCATGTGGCTATACTAATTTACTCAACCACTTTCCTTTTGTTAGGAACTTAATTTGCTTCCTTTAAAAGAAAACCAAAAGCATTTACTAGCCTAGGCGACTGCTACATATCCTTCTGCATGGCCACTTTTCTCACAATACAATGGTACTTGCAATCATCCTATTCCTCCGCCTGTTCTCCAAGACCATCCTCACCCATCTTCTTTTAAAACTCCACCCATCTAAACTCTATTGTTTTTTCTTTTTTAAAAAAATATATATTTTATTGATTTTTTACAGAGAGGAAGGGAGAAAGATAGAGAATTAGAAACGTTGATGAGAGAGAAACATCGACCAGCTGCCTCTTGCACACCCCCCACCGGGGATGTGCCCGCAACCAACGTACATGCCCTTGCTTGGAATCGAACCTGGGACCTTTCAGTCCACAGACTGACGCTCTACCACTGAACCAAACCGGTTTCAGCTAAACTCTATTATTTTTCAAAGCACAGGTTCCTCAAACAGCTCAGGGAGACCACTGTTAAAGATGTTGGAATAAAAATAAATGTGAGATTTTAGGTTCTCTTGGTAGTTACCCATGCTCTTGCTGCTGCTTCAAGTTCTTTCTCTGTCTCTCTTTCTGAACTGGATATTTTTGTTATTTTTCTGATAATGAAAGTAATTATAACAAGACACAAACCCCAAAGCCATAAACATACTGAGATTTGATTACATATAATTATAAAAACCTTAATGTGTCAAGAGGCACCAAAAATCCTATATAATAAAGAAGTAATATGCAAATTGACCATCACTCCAACACACAAGATGGCCGCCACAAGATGGCCAGCAAGTGAGAGCAGTTGTGGGTGATCAGGCCAGCAGGGGAGGGCAGTTAGGAGGGACCAGGCCTGCAAGGGAGGGAGGGTTGGAGGTGACCAGGCCTGCAGGGGAGGGCAGTTGGGGGGAACCAGGCCAGCAGGGGAGAATAGTTAGGAGTGACCAGGCTGATGGGAAGGGCAGTTAGGGGTGACCAGGCTGGCAAGGGAGAATAGTTAGTAGTGACCAGGCTGGCGGGGAAGGCAGTTAGGGGTGACCATGCTGGCAGGGGAGGGAAGTTAGGGGCAATCAGGCTGGCAGGGGAGTGGTTAGGGGGTGATCAGGCTGGCAGGCAGAAGTGGTTAGGGTCAATCAGGCAGCCAAGCAGGCAAGAAGTTGGGAGCCAGCAGTCCTGGGTTGTGAGAAGGATGTCCCAGATTGAAGAGGGTGCAGGTTGGGCTGAGGGACACCCCCCTCCTGTACACGAATTTTGTGCACTGAGCCTCTAATAAAGTATAAGATACTAACTATAAGGAAATATGCATAACATCTGTAAAAGACAGAAGGTTACTATCCATAATCAAAGAATGCCTACATATCAGAAAATAGACAAATGGCTGGGCGCTGCACTCAGCAATGCTCAGAGTGCTGATGGCTCACCCACAGGCATTGCTTAGCAATGTTTCATAGTGTACAGGTCTTGCCTGTTTTTGAGAGATTTCTTCTTTCAGCAACAGAAACTTAGCTGCCTTTATCGTACTGTCCACGCATCACTGCAACGTATGGCCAATATGATGAAGTTCTGACTAATTCTGGGTTCTGCCCTAAACTCTCCTTCTTTCTCCTCTTCCTAGAAAATGGGTACAAACGCAGGAGTGGAAGCAGTCACCTCAGACCCTGAGGTTTTAGAGACACGTGTTGAAGATGGTAGAGCAACACGCCAGAGGAGGCCTGGAGCCCTCGTGTTAGCTTTGGGCTGCTTATACTTAGATGGTGAGTCAAAGAAGAGTAAACAACTATCTTGTTTTAAGCCACTGTTATTCTAAGGTTTTGGTTATAGGACAATTTATATCATCTTAACAAATACAGGCCGTGTATAACAAAGTCAGAAACACATGGTGTTTGATCTGGGACTCTGTGTCTGGGTCCCTCCCTTCAGGAAATATTCACACTCCTGTATAAAGGTCTTCACTGCATCACAGCTCCCAATAACTGGAATGGCACCAGTGAAGTCTCCTTCCGTACGGGAATAGTTAGATAAACTGTGGCTATCCATATCATGAAATACAAGACAGCACCTGTAACAAATGAAGTAGGATTTCATGCACCAAGGTGAAAAATAGCTAAGATGTATAGGAAGAAAAAAAGAGTAAGTTGTAGGAAAATACGTATAATGTAGCATCACTTAGGTATTGGGAAAACAGAATATATCTATAATTTATATATGTATATATGTGTATAAGAACTTCAGAAAACCTACATTGGTGTATACAAACTTTAGGGGCTTGGCAGTTACTTTTGGGGAAGTGAGACTTTCACTTTCTCATTATACTTCTCTGTCTTTCAAGCCCTTTGTTTTCAATTTTTACAATAAAGTCTTAATAGACATTCTGTGGAAGTTTTAAAGCAGAAAATAAAATACCCGTAACTTCATAATCAAGAAGAAGCTATTTTGAAATGTTTTGGCATATTTCCTTGCAGTCCTTTTTCTGCACATTTTACACAGTTGAAATAGTTTCTCTATGCAATGTTGAATCTATTTAGCATTTATCATAAGCATTTCCTCTAATATTAAGACATTCTCAATGGCCAAATAATTTTCCATGATGCAGATGTACCATCATTTATTCTACACCTTCCTGTTTAGAGCACTTGATTATTTCTGTTTTTTTCACTATAATGAAATTATAATGAACAGCCTTATGCATAAAGCCATATTTTAGACTATTTTCTTGGGCTAAAGTCCTAGGAATGAAATTACTATGTCAGAGGGCATGAATATTTTAAAAGTACTTAACACTCATCCAGAAAACGCATTCCAGAAAAATGCTCATTTCCCAGATCTCCACCAGCACTGAATACTATCATTAAACAAACTCTCCAAACCTGAGAAGAAAACTTGAAGCCTTAAGTCAAAATGGTAGTGAACCCACAGGAGGAACAAGAGAAAGCAATCAGTCTACCTGTTTCTCTAGCTGCCCATACTCTTCCCACCAATTTGTGTTTTTAAAAAAATATATATTTTATTTTTATTTTTAATATATTTTATTGATTTTTTTACAGAGAGGAAGGGAGAGGGATAAAGAGCTAGAAACATTGATGAGAGGGATTCATCGATCAACTGCCTCTTGCACACCTCCTACTGGGGATGTGCCTGCAACCCAGGTACATGCCCTTGACCGGAATCAAAACTGGGACCCTTCAGTCTGCAGACCGACGCTCTATCCACTGAGCCAAACTGGCTAGGGCGCAATCCTATTTCCTGAGGACATACCTCACTGACTCCGAACCAGCCCTGAGCTGAAGGAATGCTATTTGCTTACTCTCACCCAGAACACAGGCACCAGGAGGCCTGGAGACTCAATGAGACCCTTAGGGAGCCCAGCGATCATCCCACTTGCCATCCAACCAGTGTAAGAGCTTAAGCAAATGCAGGAACTCTTAGAAACACATGGGTTCAAGCCTCACTTCTGGAGTTTTGGATTCTAAAGACTTAGGATGGGATCTGGCAATCCACACTTTTCACAAAAGTCTCCAACGATTCCAACAGGCAACCAGGTCTGGGGTTCCACTAGAACCGTGGTCGGCAACCTGCAGCTCGAGAGCCACATGCTGCTCTTTGGCCCCTTGAGTGTGGCTCTTTCACAAAATACCACGGCCTAGGCGAGTCTATTTTGAAGAAGTGGCATTAGAAGAAGTTTAAAAAATTTGGCTCTCAAAAGAAATTTCAATCATTGTACCGTTGATATTTGGCTCTGTTGACTAATGAGTTTGCTGACCACTGCACTAGAGGTACTAAAAAGCTCTTGATAGAATAAAAGCACACTTGAGATTAAAGAAGGCAACCCCTAGATCACAAAGAGTGACCTTTCATTAAATAAATGAAGGTAAATCCATAAAACAAAATACCCTGAACCAAATTATTCATGTTTTCAAAATTTTTGCGTAAGCATGTACTCATGTAATGTGTAAAAAAATACAAATTTGGGGAAATTATGTATATCTATATATTTTTTGACATTATAGAACACTATATTGTATAAAATGGTAAATAGAGGTTACAGAATAAAGTACACAAAATGATTTAATTAACAGTTACATACATACAATATGTATTTATTCATATAGATTTGAATAATGAAATGCCTAGAAGGAAATATATCACCTTTGTGTGGTAAGATTTCAGGTACTTATTTTTTTTCTTTGGTATTTTCAATTTTTCTATAGTGGTTACATACACATACAACTGATAAACAGACTATTCTTCGCTGGGATAAGAGCTACCAGTAATTTCCAATTCTTCTAGCCTTGATAGAAACCTTCAGAAACTTGGAAATAATTCCACCCCTTCCCAATGGTCTTCCCTCCAGAGACTATAATAGTTTCACACTCCTCGCCTCCCCCAAGCGCAGTGAGGCTTAGGTGTGAGGAACCACTCTGCCACCTGGTGGCCATGCCTAGGCATGCACTCCCATCGTAGTGCTGTAACAGTGGGAAGGTAAAATCAG